TTATATCTTAATTGACGATTAGAAGATCGATCAATTTGGCAATGGCAATCATTACAAAAATATCAATATGGTGTGGCAGAAAATTTTTTTTTTCTTTTCTTGTATTTATTTATTTATTTTTGTTTACTGTATAGTATACCCTAAATTTATCGCGTCTTATTCTTACTTAAATAAATTCTCAGTGGTTGTGTGTGTGTGTGTGTGGCTGGTGGGTGCATGTGAGCGTGTGTGAAATAACTTAATAATTTTAGGTGAGTAAACACGTACCACTTCCTCTTGGCAAAACCTTCCATCTTATATTTTGTACGTTATAAACCTTATCTAAGGTTTTGTTTGCTCCCCTGATTTCATAATCAGTTTTTATTTATTTGTTTTTATCTGTCAAATGTATTGTTATGCTGATTATGGAGTCGAAATAAACTTATACTTATACTTACTTATATACCCCTTCTTCTTGGCAAAACTTTTCATCTTATATTATGTAAGTTTCAAAGTTTGTCTAACAGTCTAAGATTTCGTGGTCTCGTGTAGTTTCGTACTTCTAGTAGGCGTAGCATGAAATTTTCTTGACATGTCAATCCTAACCTTCACCTGACTACGCCATCCAAAAATTACGTCACTACGACGTCACAATCACGTCATAGACATTGCCAAATACACTTACGATCGCCCGAAATGGCATCGGCTCCGACGATGAAGAACTGACTAACGTCAGCGATCTCTCTCCTATCGGGATCGTTACGATGAGAAAACGAGAGAAATGGCTGTTCGATTTCGGGTTCTCGTCTGCGCATCTTGGATGACAGTTCGCATAATTTGAAGGGCTTTATTACGTCACTGCTGCACTGTGACGCCGTAGTGACGTAATTTTTGGATGGTGTGGTCGGGTTGGGGTTAGGATTGATACATGAAAAAATTGTTATGCTACGCCTACTAGAAGTATGTTAGGTACGAAACTACATGAAACCCAGATTTTGTTTACTCTCCTGACTGCCTGATTTCATATTCAGTTTTTATTTGTTTTTTTATCAATCATTTTATTGCCTGTTAGGCTGATTATGGAGTTGAAATATACTCATATAATCCTATCGTACTGCATTGGTACCACACTGTTCAGCTGTTTGCGGTCTTGCAAATCCCCAATATTTCATCCAATTTCCGTTATGGGTATCTAGTGACTGGTATCTTGATTGTCCGCAATAATTCGTCTACAGTCTCACTACCGGTATCTATTATTTGAGCGTCATTCCTCAAACGCCATTTTGTAACGCCAGAAGGTAGCATTACAGACCGGTATGTCTGTATGTTTTATTATTATGACTGTATGCCATAAATATTGCTTTCATTTATGATTGTTTTTTGAGGAGAATGGATAAATCCATCTATCTGCTCATTGGTAGTTTACAGCATACAGGCATTGGGCTCCATGAGAGAAACCTAGCGGCTCCGTTAGCTATTCAATCACTTCTCAAAATACTGACTTGGCTCCGTAAAAGTTTAAAAACCCCTGCTTTATTTGCAACATCAGTTTTTACAAATTTAAAGTCACAAAGATGTTTAGCCAGAAAGTATAGATGTCTCACCTGCACATTCTAGGTGTAGGGAGTCTGGTCGATTTTGGTATCACTTAGGCTTTGCCAGTAGTCTAGTAAGAATTATTAGCGATTTTTTGTTTGTTGTTCGGCGAGGCGGTGTTGCTCATCGTGCTATCCGTTAAGAATACGCTCGCCACCGCACCTCTGATTACTCTACGTGAGTTCGCAGGTTCGCATCCCATGCAGGGATGGTTATGTGCGCGAAGATTGCTGGACTCCTCATCATCGTAGGGTGGTTCACGTAACCGCTGGTCAGTTGCGACTTCCTCCACCATCAAGTCCATGCTTTCGAAAAAACAAATAACTAACAAATCCCATACGCGGTATGGAATGGTAACCGGACGAGAGGCCAAGGTCGTCCGTCATATGGTTGGGCCGCTTTATCGGCTCCCCCCTGCCTTCGTTATTTATACCCTGTATCATTCAATAAATGAAGCATGAATGAACAGAAATAGCGTCGAATTATTGATCCATTGCTGAACATAGTTAGGGCTCTACACCCTATCTCAGGGGTGGGCAACATACGGCCCGAGGGCCGGGTCCGGCTCGCGTCAAGATTTTGACCGGCCCGCTGACTGTACATCAGTAGGCTACATTATGTTATTACATTATTACACTTTTAGTACATTATGATAAATTCCTTATGTTTTTTGGTCTCTCTTTTTTTGTAGTTTAAACTTTACTTTAAACGAGATTGATAATTTTCTTTCTTGCATTAGCGAATAAATATGTGATTAAGATATTGAATACTATTCATGTTATAACCTGGCCCATTTCATTCATTTTCCCACATCTGACCCGTCGACTGAAAATGTTGCCCACCCCTGCCCTAGTTTGATTCAGCCAGCTGGTATGTTTGTTCTATTTGTGAAATCATTTATCGCTGGGCTAAAGTGATTTACGCGACTCTCAGGGGTATAAAGACTTTTTGAATTATAAATTAGTTTTAAATTGGCCTTGGGAATTGCTTAAAAATAATAATATTTGAATACACAATAATTTTTGGGACAATTGGGCATAGTTAGGTTAGGAGATTATAGAGTACCAGATAGATATGTATCAGGTAGATATGATAAAAAAAAATTGCTTGGTTACTAGGAAACCAGCGGGCAGCAGGGTGACAAAACCGCTCCAAGCTATGCGAGGTGTCTCAGGGTTCTGAATTAAAAATGGAATTAATAAAATAATTGAATAAACCTATCATAGCTACAGTAATTAATAAGATGCTTTGATCATAGACTATTTAGGCATTAAAGAGCAATATTACCGTAAAAAGTTTTATTAAAACAGCAAAGTATGGTAATTTCCAGAATGATAGATATCTCCAATAAACACTTGGGGGTTAATTTGGCTTTGAATGAAAATTCAGGGGTTCACAGTGAAAAAAAAGGTTGGGGCATTGAGAATATTAGTTGAACACTGTGAAACTTGTCAAAAAATGACCATAAATTGGTGTCTCATGCCATGCCAATGTGGTCCACTCAGTTTTTTATATAAAACTCTGTTTTAGTAAATGTGCTAAAGGGGTCAAACCTACTGTAGAACAAATCTCAAAACTACGCAAGTTACTGAGTGTTCTCATTTGGCATTGAACACTATCGTTAGTCATGAATTGTTACTAGTCACCTCAGTATTCTGTTTCGTGACTTTCCCGCAACTCTTGCATGTTGTGTATACCAGGCTACAAAAAGTAGGTTCATCTCCAGAGTTCAATTATAGTCTGTTTTCAGAATGCTCATAATTGACTGAAATTTTTTCAGTATTCAAGGTCATTTTGATCTCATATGTTTCTTATATTTATATTATTTGCCAACATTATATTATTAGTATTAGGGTATTGTGTATTGAACTGGGTACTCCTGTAGTGTGTGTACCAGGTTCGAGTTAGGACATAATTTTATTACGATTTTCCTTATTTTAGTTCTATTACGAGTTCAGGGACTGTCTGTGTTAGCCAAGTGAATATACCCCCTACCCATAGGCTTCAGTCCCTTTACACAACTTGATGTGAAATATGCGAACAAAATTAGTTACCTACCTCCATATTGGTACACTCACTTTTGGGAGGCGCAGTTCTTACCACTTCATGGCAGCTCCTGCCACGAACGAACCGCGGCAGCGGAGTGCCTTGAACTGCAGGTCCTTTTTTGTGTTTACTTACTACACTGGATATATACATGACCATTGCCACAAATATGGCATTTATCATCATAAAATAAGTCATTCACAAAAATGTGAAACAACAAATTGATAGGAATCACAGAACACTAGTGAAATATACTTATATATACCATATGAAATATACCAAGTATATTTGATTATGGTATATTTTATATAGACTCTTGAGTTACAGTTCTTTTCATACATATCGTAGTCAGGTGCAAATATGAGCAAATTTAAAAAATCCTCTGAAGCTATGAAAATAAATATAAGCTTTAATAAAAAAAAGCTTTCACATATCCAAAATTGGGCCAATGATTCAAAAAAAAGAGTTAGGTGCGGTCCAAATCGAATACTCAAAAGGTCGGATTCGGACCGCAGTCCACAAGTTGAGTAGTTCTGCCCTAGGGTTTTGCAGAACCATGATTGGAAACTATTGTCTTGTAGACGTTGTAGTGATAAGATAGAGTAAAATAATCTTTTTCCCGTGGAATAGTATATTTGTGACCTTTGATCTTGTGAAAACCCTATACAAGTGGTTCCCAATTTTGGGGGGGTCACGGAGCAGTGAGAGGGGGGGGGTCACGATGCTAGGCTCAAAACTAATTTTACTAATTCACTTTACAAGAAATCTCGTACTTCCTAGTTTTATTGCTTGGTAGAGTTATTTCACAGGGTGTTTCACTCTGTTGAGCATGGATTGTTTGACATACCGTATTTGCTCGTTCTGTAGCCCGGGCCCATATTTTTTTAACCAAACTCACTAATTAGCCCTTATTCAAGCACGGGCGATTGTTATTTTTAAAGTAAAATTATACACAAAAATTACGGTAATTGGACGCCTAAGGCGTGAGTGTTATCTACAAGCGCTTAAAATTCTACAGCGTTGTGACAAAAGCGCTTCTTATTTCCTATTGTTCTCTACCACTGAAAAATCAGCATTTTTATCGGGCGGGTATTCAAGCACCGTTCCTTATTTATTTTTATGTTCTGTTCACACGGGCGGCTATTCAAACAGGCCCTTAATCAAGATCGGGCGGTAAAACGAGCATATACGGTAATTGGATTTGGAATCCACCAATCAAAATTACACTATGAATACAACTGGAATGATAAGCAGGGGGCCATGACTGCTAAAAGCTTTCGGAAGGGGGCCATGAGGCATAAAAGGCTGTTGACAGCCTATAATATGATAATGCTGTTGATGCTTGCAATAATATCTTTTAACAATGTATGTTTAGACCTGTTTATAGTTAACTTCATACATTATTTAAAAAAATTGCTATGGAAAGCAGTGATGAGTTGGAGATAATTGAAGAGGTATTTACTTGTCCAAACTGCGACAAAACATTACCAAAAGCAATTTTGAAAGACCATATGATGACACATATGCACAAAGAACCAAGTGTACAAAATACACGCAAAAAAGTTGAAGATTTGGTAGAAAAAGTGGATAACTCTAAAGCAATCAAATCCGGGAAATACTTCATATTAAAGAAAAACTTAAGGACCCGCATGCTTGTTAATGCGAAGGATAAATCACCTGGGAAACCGGCTGGTATTTCTAAAAAGGATCCACAAAATTCAACGCCAGTTCCTGCAGAAGCCAAGGAAAGACCGCATGTTTGTGCTCAATGTGGACGATCTTATACTTTGAAACGAAATTTACAAGCGCATTTGCAAAGTCATACAGGAATAAAACCACATAAATGTGAAGAATGTAACAAGGCCTATTTGTCAAAACGGAATTTGCAAATTCATATGCGTACACATACAGGAGAAAAACCGTTTGCTTGTGATGTATGTGAAAGAGCATTCACACGAAAAACCACATTACAAACACATATGCGTACTCACACAGGAGAAAAACCATATCCATGTGAAATGTGTGGGAAGTGTTTTGTCACGGCAAGTGATAGAAAAAAACACACGCTTATTCATATCGGTGGAAAACCACATATATGTGAACAATGTGGAAAAGCTTTTATGCGAAAAGATAATCTACAGACACACATTCAAACACATGCTGGGGAAAGAACTTTTGCTTGCGATTTGTGTGAAAAATCCTTCAAAACGCCAGGCTATCTAAAGCAACATTTATGGATTCATACCGGCAAAAAACCATTTTCATGTGAATTATGCAATAAATCTTTTTCACGTAAAGCAACTTTACAGACACATATGCGCACTCACACTGGTGAGAAACCTTACGCATGTGATATGTGTGAAAAGTGTTTCACAACACCAGGAGATGTGAAAAAACACATAAGAGTTCACACAGGAGAAAAACCATATGCGTGTGATATATGCGGAAAATGTTACAGAACTGGGCATGAACTGACAAATCACATGCGGGTTCACACAGGAGAAAAACCATACACATGCATAATATGTGAAAAAACATTTGCAATGGCACGTGAACTTAGACGTCATATGCGAGTCCATATTGATGAGAAATATTACTGCAATCTCAAAGAATTTGGAGATTATTTTTCGAAGAAGGAGTCTGCGGAAAACGAACTACTGAACAAAATATAACTGAAAAACACTGCTAGTGAAACATGTATTAAAAAATGGAATAACACAATCACTTTCCAAGGAATGGAAAGTATATTTGTTAGCTTTGTATTGTAGTCTAACTCAGGGCAGGGGTGTGCAACATTTTTTGTCGGTGGGTCATATAACCAACTTCAGTAATCCAGCTGGGCCACACAAAAAGTCCAGTTTATCTTCGTACACAACAAATTAAAAAAATCTCTCGGGGCAAAATTTTATTTATTCAGCATTTTAGCGGGACACTTGAAACTTCGATTTTTGTTTAGTTTGTTAACATCAGCTTGACAGATGTTGTAGCAACACTTAGCTGACTGGTTAAATGTCCATCAGTCGACTGACATCTACTTTTGCTTTTTAACACAGCGAGAAGAGCAAAAACTATGTAGTTTTATCCATGTAAGCGTTGTTTTAAACATAAACTGTTGGATTAGGATTTTGTGCTTGATGGGAAAAAATCTAAGTGTTGACAAGGGCCACACTAAACAGCTTGGATTATGGCCCGCGATAAGACTGTTGCACAACTTTGGTCTAACTTTTCCAAACAAAACAAAATATAACTTTATCAAACAGTATTTTCAAGATTCCTTGTGGCAAACCTTTGTATTGGAAAACATCATGAGTGGCTATGAACATGCCAATCGTCATTAAGACTTTATATCCATATAACATCAACGAACTCTGCTTGTATAAGAAGTGTTTGGACCTCCAGAAGTATGCGCACCAAGATGGTGCACAACCTGAACATCGTATGTGTGTACCGGTTAGGATTGAGGTTGTGCGACATCTTGATGCGCATACTTCTAGAGCACCAAACTATAGCTCAAGAGCTGGACACTTTTTCTATGGTGGTATACATACTTTACTTTCATATCACCTCTTTTCTGACCAAATCAAACAATGTACTATTCGAAATCAGGGCTGGGGAGGTGGCTCAAAATCACAGTGGCACCGGTTCCGAGCATCATTTATTTCACTTAGGAGCTGGGCACCGTACCCATCAAGGTTATTAAATGTGACCACTGTTCTGAAAATATCTTCTAAATGCAGTTTCATGGAAGCGGGACTCAAAACGATGATGATACCAATTAGAAGAAACTTTTGAAAATATAAATAAATTCAACTTGAGATTTTAAATTAATATTATGAATGGAAATTTATAAAAATTTATGTGCTGTAAAGAATGGATTTCATTATATGTATGACTTCATAAATGTTGAAAAAGAATTAGATATTTCGGAACCGAAGACACTATAATCCAGCTCTCTCTAACATGGTAAGCTCGGCTCCAGCTCCACCAAAATGTCGCAGTTCCGACTCCAGATTCCAGCCCTGTTGTAAATGGATTCAATAGCATTTAAGTAAATATAATATACATTATGAAACAAGGCGCACCTGTAGTATGTGAACCAAGATGTCGGACACTGGAACGTAGTATGTGTACCAGGTTAGGGTTAGGCCACAAATTTATTCCAATTTTCCATATTTTAGTGCTATCACGAGTTTGGGGACTAGCCAACTGACTCCCGTAATATTTGTACTTGAAACTATGGCCTAAGTGTCCGCCATCTTGGTTTACATACTCTGAGATTACATAAAACAATCATGTTAAACAGGGAAATTTACACACGTCATTGTATGTCATATAAATCGCATTAGACAATGATGCATTATTGTTCAGATAGACTTGGTTTTTATTAGTATTCTCTCTTTATTGCAATGTCAGGAGTCAAACTGAGTTTTGTGTCTTGTCTTTTGAATGGCTCCAGACTGACTTTTTTTGATTTAATGGCCTTGCTGGCCATCACGAATTAATTTCAGTATATCGAGTATAAATTTATTAGGCAAATCCTTTTAAATGTTGCTTCAATAGGGTTTAGGTTTGGATTTCAGAACCATTTTTTAAATGGAATTTGAGCCTGAACTTCTGTCAACCTGAGTCATTTTAGAATGGCCCCAAGTTCAATGATCTTTTTCAACTCAATGGCCCTGCTAAAGATCACCATGCTTCCTAAAGTGTTTGCTCGTGCCGCGCTAAATTATCAGGGAAAAAAACTAACAGCGCATTTACTCGAAAAAAAAGGCTCCCTTCAATAAAAATAAATTTTATGATTGTAACAGAAGGCTACGTAACAGAAAATAAACGTTATAGAGAGGCAAAATAAATTATTGATTCGGATACACAGCGTTCAAAATAAGAAACAATAAGACATTAATAATAAATACAATATGTAAAATATTCAATCATAAATTAGTTACGTTTAACACAATTCTGTTGATTTTCGTGGCTCACTTAGCAAATCGCCGGTGTCTCTTTCGGGACCCGCTGCACTACAGTATATCAGTAGTGAGAATTAGGTTTTCTATTTTAAATAAAGTCGGTCAAAATTTTCACTAATCTTTAGTCAATTTTTGGGTACTCCTGTAGTATGTGTAAGGCCATAATTTTATTCCGATTTTTCTTATTTTAGTTTGGCGACGGTTGTCTTAGCCAAGTGAATATACTACCTGTCCATAGGCTTCTGTCCCTTTTCACAACTTGATATAAAGAAGGCGAACAAAATTAGTTACCTTCAAATTGGTACACATACTTCTGGAGCGTCTATTTTTAAATGACTTCAATTCAGTCTGGTGCGCTTTTCCTTCGACTCTATGGCATTACTTTGAATCATGAATAAAATTTAAATTTGCTAATTCTTTATTTTTAAACATAGCTTTAAATTTCAACTACTAGACAATTGCTTCCAGTTGTTCGATATGGAAGTGTTTTATAGGTTATTCTATTTATATTTATTTTTCATATTTTCTGTATTCTCCATGGAGTCCAATGTCTTTACAAAATGTTGCTGCTTCTTAAATTGTGCCACAAAGTGTATTGTCTGGCAACCTAGTAATTTTTGTGGTGCCCGATGTCTTCTTATTTTCATAACAGCATGGGAAACTGGAGAAAAGCTCTATAGACTAACAGCCCCTAATATGTAATGAGCTACTACTGTTTTCCAAATAGCGATATTTTTATTGCCTCCGTAAGCCTTGATTGAGAGGCTGGTAATGGGGATTTTGCCCGAGAGGTTTCGCCAACATTCCAGGACTTTAAACAGGGACATACCGAGGGGGGAGCGTTTCGACGACCTGCAACCTATAGATGCCCCCAAAGGAATTTATTTTTTTTTTCGAAGCTGGAAACTCCTGAAATACTGCTCGCCGTTACAATATAACTTGGCAATTTGAGATTTCAGAGCCTCCCCTCTTGATGACTCTAACTGGCTATTGCAGCCAATATATTGGGGGGTGGAAAATGATTAGTTGCGGTGTGCTAATATCAAAGTCTTTTAGTCCGGTAGTAGATATCAAGCCTACTTAATGCTGCTAATTATGAATGTTTGTTTCTTAAAGTTTTTAAATCATTGTAAATCTTCTCGTAAATGTTGTTCTATCCATCATGCTTTGAATTTTTGACAGTGAAGGTGAAACTTTTTGCCTTTTTAAAAAAGCATATCATGTGCTACTTTTTTTCATCCCTTGCCTGTAATTTTTCACTTTTTTGTTGCTTTTTTTTGAAAGCCGTTTTCAACATTGCAATTCAGGAAACTTGCCCAGCTAAAATTGAAGAATTATGGCAATATTCAGATCCCATAATGTAGAATTCTAAAAGTTTTTCTATATATGTCAAAATTCAGGTTTCACTACAAAAATTGGAAAATTACACCAAATTTTTTTTATTTATTCAAGTTTCTGAAAAGATAATTTCAATCCCCTTCAACTAACTAATTAGTTTGTCAACTCACGCTATATGTTTAAAAATGTTTTACAAATTTATTTTTCAAGTTGTTGCCACAAAATATTGTCTTCCCCCAAAATTGGGCAGAAGGCCTCCAATTATCCGGTGGTAAAAAACACAAGGATAGCTCAATTACTTTTAATTCATTTTTTTCCTTAAGGGCCGTTATTTTATCAAAATTTTGAGAAATTGCGACCTAAATAATTGTGCTTTATGACAGTAGGACAACGGTACCACTTTTGTGCCCAACATATATATGGGCTTTGCTTTCTTGCTTCTAATATTTCTTTAATAAATCTGTATTCGTATTATGTATAAACATTATTGATGAGTTAAGATATGATTGTTGTCTGTTTATTCCAGGGAAGAGCAAAAACGCTGTGTTACACACCGTTCTGGTTTAGGATATAGAAATATTGCAGGCCAAATGGTTGGAGTAAGCATATGTAGTCGGCGGCGAGGAGTCCAGCAATCCTTTCGCACATAACTGTCTCCGCATGGGATTCGAACCTGCAGACCCACGCCGTGTAATCAGAGGTGCGGTGGCGAGCGTATTCCCACACCGCCGAGCCTTTATAAAACTTGGCGATTGTTAAGAGTATTCATATGATGTGGAATTCAAGTAATTGCAAGACGAGTAGGACACCGCATATCTTACACACCCAACGGAAAGCTGATAAGGCGCTCTGTCCATAATGGGGGACTGACTTGTCTGGTCATGGGAATAATTGTTTCCTATTTATTATCTTAGATAATAGAGGATGCCATAACCTACCAGCTATCGTGTGGGATAGATCTGGTTTCGTTCCGCTTGTACAAACTACAAAAACTGATGGCGAAGAACCCGGACAGCCAACAAAACCTATCGGCAGGTGTAAATCGATGGTCATTTTTTTGGATTTAAAATTATATGAAAAGGCGCTTCAAAATCAGGAATACTGAAGAACTGTTAATTAAAATTAAATAAATAGTCGCTTAAGACGGCGGAAGCCGTTCTGATCGTTTTCGTGCTCAAGATATCGCTTTGATCGTAAGTAAGATCATAAGCCAACCGACCGTATCAATTTCTGTGCCTAACTAACGAGGAAAATCTTGGTGCACATACTTCTGGAGCGCCGTTTTTTGTGCTGGAAAGTTTAACCACTTATGACAGTATTGAGCAAGGGCACGGGAAAAAAATGTTTGATAAGGGTTGCTTTTCAATGCAGAATTTATGAATTCCCGGAGCATTTTG